AATATAAATGTTATGGTGGGTCTATCTTCGTATGAGTTTGTAGTAATAAAAGTCAAAAAACTTTTAGACACCTTAAAATCTAACTTTACGTATGTGTTATCAGAAAGTTGCACTTATAATAAAATTGTTATTTTAAGTTTATGCATTTTGGAGGTTAGATTTAATGTGTTTATGAAGTTTGTGCATTTTGAAGGTTAGGTTTTATGTGTTTACGCAGCAAATACATAGATTTTTAACAGTTCTTACTACCGACTCATACGAAGATAGACCCACAATACAGCATTTCTATTTTATCCTAAATTTGACCACTTGATCACTTTTAGCTAGTAATTAAATTGGATGTAAATTTTATGAGGCAGAATTTTCCCCTGAATTTGTATTTATTTACAAAATTAAGGGTTAATTTAGGGATAAAATATAAATGTTATGGTGGGTCTATCTTCGTATGAGTTTGTAGTAATAAAAGTCAAAAAACTTTTAGACACCTTAAAATCTAACTTTACGTATGTGTTATCAGAAAGTTGCACTTATAATAAAATTGTTATTTTAAGTTTATGCATTTTGGAGGTTAGATTTAATGTGTTTATGAAGTTTGTGCATTTTGAAGGTTAGGTTTTATGTGTTTACGCAGCAAATACATAGATTTTTAACAGTTTCTTACTACCGACTCATACGAAGATAGACCCACAATACAGCATTTCTATTTTATCCTAAATTTGACCACTTGATCACTTTTAGCTAGTAATTAAATTGGATGTAAATTTTATGAGGCAGAATTTTCCCCTGAATTTGTATTTATTTACAAAATTAAGGGTTAATTTAGGGATAAAATATAAATGTTATGGTGGGTCTATCTTCGTATGAGTTTGTAGTAATAAAAGTCAAAAAACTTTTAGACACCTTAAAATCTAACTTTACGTATGTGTTATCAGAAAGTTGCACTTATAATAAAATTGTTATTTTACATTTGTACCTTTTGGAGGTTATGTTTTATGTGTTTTCGCACCAAATACATAGATTTGTAACAGTTTCTTACTACCAACTCATACACAGATAGACCCGTAACATTTCTTTTTTATCCTAGAATTTTTATTTGAAGTTTGTGCATTTTGGAGGTTAGGCTTTATGTGTTTACGCACCAAATACATAGATTTATAACAGTTTCTTACTCATACGAAGATAGACCCATAAAATTTCTATTTTATCCTAAAATTGACCCTTTAAAATTACCTTTAGCAAAGTATCTAATTTAGATGTAAATTTTAACAATAGTTTTAAATATAATTAGTTAATTTTAAATTAATACAAAACGACTAATGGATGTTTTAAAATTTTATTATAAAAGATAACTTAATTTTTATGATGTAATTATGATGCTAAAATATGTACACAGGTTTTAATTGTAAATTAATTAGTAATAAGGTAACTGATGCAGATTTAATTTAATTTAATATTTTATTAGTTTTAATATATATATATATATATATATATATATTATTTTAATAATGTGGACGAGAGATTTTATACAAGTCTTCGAGGCAAAATACAATGTTTAAATGATAATGAAAATACATCTGACTTATTATTATTAACTTCCCGTAGGGTAAGTTATTGTAGTCGTCCAAAAATCGAAAATGAAAATTTTTGCACATCTTCACGTTTCCGAGGTTTCTGAACTTCTGGCATACCTAAGATAAAATGCATGTGTTTGTGTGTGTGTGTGTGTGTTTTGCATGTCCGCATTTTTTCGTCCACGTTTTCGGAAGCAAGGATCAATCGTTTCGAATGATTCATTTACCATTCGATCCCTATTGATAGGGAGATGTGCTGATTAGTTTTTGGCTAAGGCAGGTCCAGCCGTTACGGAGATACAGAGCAAAGAGTGTAGAAAATACAAATCGAGTTTTTGAGAGAACGAAGAATCCGATTTCAATGATTTAAGAAACATTTTATTTGTATTGACGAAATGAAGAATTTATTACATTTTTACGAAGGCAGGTACAGCGGTTTAGGAGATGCAGAAAAAAAGTCGAAAAAATGTCATTTCGGGGTTAAAAATGATATTTTTGTGGCGATTTTATTAATGTTGATCAACCGATTTGAATGATTCAAAAAACATTCGATTCCTATTGATGGCTAAAGAGTTTTTGGCAAAGGCAGGTCCAACTGTTTCGGAAACACGTTGTAAAGGCTATTCAGTTTTTGAGAGAAAGGATTTGAGAACAATCGATTTGAATGATTCAACTGTTTTGATTTTTTTTTTCAGTTATGAAAATTTTTTAAAAGTTCGTAATTTTTTTGGAATTTTTGGAAAAAATCGATTTTTTCAAATTTGTGGAGAATTTGGATATTTTTGAAAATGTTCGATTTTTTTTGAAAATTTTTAAATATCCTCAAATTTTTGTAAGAAATCGTTTTTTTTTAACAAAAATTTGATATTTTTTTTTAATTTTTTAAAATTTAGATTTTTTTTTTGAAAATGATGAAAAATTTCGATATTTTGGATTTTTCGTAACTTCTGTGTGTATGTGAATTTAAAAAGGACAAGCAACTTGAAAAACTGTTGGGAAAATTACAAAAAGGACTCTACTGACGAGTAAATTTTATATCTAGAGAGAAAATTAGAAGAAAAGGGACTCTACTGACGAGCAAATTTAATATCTAGAGAGGAAATTAGAAGAAGAGGATTCTACTGACGAGCAAATTTAATATCTAGAAAGAAGAATAGACGAAAAGGACTCTACTGACGAGCAAATTTAATATCTAGATGGAAAATTATTAGAAAAAGGACTCTACAGACGAGCAAATTAGAAGAAAAGGACTTTACTGACAAGCAAATTTATTATCTAGAGAGGAAATTAGAAGAAAGGGAGTCTACAGACGAGCAAATTTAGTACCTAGAGACAAAATTAGAGGAAAAGGACTCTACTTACGAGCAAAACTAAGAAAAATGAAAAATGACTGCAAAATCCGATCTAGTAATGCTCCTGCATGATTATTTAAAATCTTATTATTTTTGTTGTTTCTCTATAAAGATGTAAATAACGTTCCAGAAACCATTTCAGAACATGTTAGGGAAAATAAAGTTTTAGAAAAAGACAGAAAGTAAGAGATTTTTCTATTAATCATCATGCAGAAGAATTACTAGATCGATGATTTTATCGTTTTCTTTATTTTTCTCCTTTTTTCGCAACTTTTTTTTTATTTTGTGGACCCTATGATCATTACAAATTATTATGGTTGATTCACTTCAAAAAGGGAATTATATTGGGAGGCAGGAAAACAAGTAGACATGTAAACAGGTATACAGGTGAATTATATACCAATCAAATTACTATTAATTTTCATTTTCTCTCAAGGCGAAATGCCACTTGCACCTAGTTTCAGTATTTTCAGGACAAAGAAAACAATAATGTTATATCCGGAACTGAAGATGACAATTGGTTATAGATCAAGAAGGTGACGAGATTCGAGAATAAGAACAAGGTAATTTTTTTTCTGACTTTTTACTAGTTAAATAATTTATTCATCAATGTACAAAAATTATTACTTCATATTATCAAAGAAATTTTTAAAAGTGCTTTCTGTATTCTTATTCTAATAAAAAAGACCGTTTAAACGATACCCCACATGATATAAAACGTACAATCTAAAATTTTTGAAGTAAAACTTCTTTAAGCTAGTTTATTAAAGATGCATGAAAAGTGTATATTTTGTGGACAAATCGCATAATTACAAAAGTTTTATACTTGACACACTTGAAAGAAAAGCGCAATAAATTTTAACATTCTTATATTTTTTGCATTAAAGTATGGTTTTGTATCAAATGTTTTTATTCCAATATGATAATTTTTTGAGAAAATCGTGTTCTACTCGTTGAGACCTTTCAAACGATACCCCACATGATATAAAAGATACAATGTAAAAATTTTGAAGTAAAACTTCTTTACTCATCTTTGCTATAAATTCGTAAAGAGTATAATTTGTGGACAAATCACATAAGTAATTTTAGTATTCGCTACACAAGTTTTACACCTCACATTTTTTTACATAAAAAATCGATAAATTTTAACATTCTGATATTTTTTGCATTAAAGTATGGTTTTGTATCTAATGTTTTTATTCCAATATGATAATTTTTTGAGAAAATCGTGTTCTACTCGTTGAGACCTTTCAAACGATACCCCACATGATATAAAAGATACAATGAAAAAATTTTGAAGTAAAACTTCTTTAAGATCGTTTACTAGAAATTCATTAAAAGTGTATATTTTGTGGACAAATTACATAGTTAATTGCAGTATTCATATTCTATTGAAAAAGACCTTTCAAACGACACCCAACATGCCGAAAAAATACAACTTAAATTTTATGAAGTAAAACTTTTTTAAGATCGTTTACTACAAATTTATTAAATAGTTATATTTTGTGAAAAAACCATATGGTTAATTTCAAAATTTGGATTTTCTTGAAAAAGACCTTTTAAACGACACCCAATATGCCAAAAAACCGCAATTTAATTTTTAAGCAAAACTTCTTTAAGCTCGTTTACTACAAATTTGAAAAAAGTGTATATTTTGTGGACAAACTACATAGTATTCACTACGAAAATTTTACACGAAATTGATATACTTGTTTATCTATGTTTACACCTTACATATTAAAAAAAAAAATCTTATATTTGTTGCAATAAAATATTACGTTTTTATTACAATATACATAATTATTTTTGTTGTGGTAATCGTTATCTACTCATCGAGACCTTTTAAACGATACCCCACAAGCCATACAAGATACAATCTAAATTTTTTGAAGTAAAACTTCTTTAAGCTCGTTTAATAGAAATGCGTGAAAAGTGTATATTTTGTGGACAAATTTTCTTTCTTTATGATTCTTTACTATTTAAAATCATAATCCAACACAAACAAACACACAATTTAAAAAGAAAATAATTTATTCATAATTATACAAAAATTATTACTTCATAATATCACTTAATATTATTTTTTCATGAAAAACGACGATATACTCTTGGTTCCACTTGCAGCCTTGCCCCAAGCCTTCTCTTTCGCAGAAGGAGCCTTCGGTTTTTCTACTTTAATCGGCATTACAAAGTCTTCGGTATCTTTTTCTAATTTGATTTTCTTTGTGTTTTTATCATTTGTCGCTAAAGATTTTCTTTTTTGATTGTCTGGTTGTTCGGTTTCGGGAATTCCTAGATGAACTTTTAACATTTTGCTTAAATCGTAATTTATGTACTCGGATATTATGCCGAAGGCGTAGGCTTTGTAATCATCTGGAAAAAATATAATGATACAAATATATATATATATATATATATATACGAGTATAACAGAATCTTCGATGATGCATGAATCTGACTTGCTTGTTTATATGTATAATAAACAAATGTGCTTTACCCTGTTTTAGTGTTCTCCGCACTCAACAGAGGGTCTAACTGTGCTCAATTTTCAAAGCTAGTAGATTTATTTTGGAATAAGTTTATTAGATTATTTGAACGTGAAATAAGATAGGAAAAAACATAAAATTTGTTGTAAAATTTATTCTCGATTAAGCTTATTTTATTACTTAAAGAAAAAATAAGATAGTAAAAACCAAAAGATTGTAACAGAGCAGTCTAAAGAAGTTTTACTTCAAAATTTTTAGATCGTATCTTGTATGGCTTTTGGGGTATCGTTTGAAAGGTGTAGGCGAGTAGAAAACGATTTTGCACAATAAAATGATTATATTGTAAAGAAACGTAATATTATATTGCAAAAAATATTAGAATGTTAAAATTTGTTTTTTAAATATGTATAGTATAAATCTTTTGAACAAATACTAAAATTAAATATATGATTTGTCCACAAAATGTACACTTTTTACAAATTTGTACTAAACGAGCTTAAAGAAGTTTTACTTCAAAATATTTAGATCGTTTATTTTATGGCTTGTGGGGTATCGTTTAAAAGGTCTCGACGAGTAGAAAACGATTTTCTCAAACAAATGATCATAATATAATGAAAACATTATATAATACATAACCATAATTTATTGTAAAAAATTCCAGACTGTTAAAATTCATCGATTTTTTTTTTCAAATATGTGAGATGTAAAACTTTCGTAACAAATACTAAAATTAACTATGAGATTTGCCCACAAAATATACACTTTTAATAAATTTTTAAACTTCATTCTAAAATTTGAAAGGTATATTTGAATAGAATCCGAATACTGCAATTAACTATGCGATTTATCCATAAAATGCACACTTTTTACGCATTTTTATTAAACGAGCTTAAAGAAGTGTTACTTCAAAAAAATTAAATTGTGTTTTTTTGGCATGCTGAGTATCATTTGAAAGGTATTTTTGAATAGAATCCGAATACTGCAATTAACTATGTAATTTATCCACGACTTGCACACGTTTTACGCATTTTTATTAAACGAGCTTGAAGAAGTTTTACTTCAAAAATTTTAGATTGTACGTTTTATAGCATGTGGGGTATCGTTTAAAAGGTCTCGACGAGTAGATTTTCAAGAAATTATAAACATTATAAATAATAAAAGTGATAACGGACTCTACTGACGAGCAAACTGAAATTAAAGACAAGAGATGGAAAAGGACTCTACTGACAAGCAAATAGAATAAATGACAAGAAATGTAATAAATGACTTAAATAAAAGGCAAGAAGTGAAAAAAGGACTCTACTGACGAGCAAACTAAAATGAAAGACAAAAAATGAAAAAGGGACTTTACTGAGGAACAAAAATAAATAAAAAACAAAAAATGAAAAAGGACTCTACTGACAAGCAAACTGAAATTGAAGACAAAAAATTAAAAGAGACTCTATTGACACATAAACTAAAATTAAAATTTTAGTTTTTTCATATTATATATTTATATAAATCTTACCTAGAATTGAACCCAAGGGTTAATTTACGTGCTACAGTTAGTGGCGCCTCTATCGAGTGCGGAAACAATTTAAATTGCAATCTATTTATACTTCTAAAAATGTTATGGCAAGGCCATGTTACGAAGAACTTTCCATACTAAATATTGACAAGAGCCATGCATTGCATTCATACATCATTACAGAAGAATTTTATATATGATATATATATATATATATATATATATATATATATATATATAATATATATAAATATAATATTTACCATCACAATCTGAAACATCAGCTTCACTTTTAACAAACGAAGCAGACACTGCTCCACTCCCCACATGCAATTTTTTATTTTTCAAAACCTTTGCAATGAGATTAACTTTTGTAGCTAACCAGGACAGGCATTTTTCTTTATTAAATTTATATGCCTAAAATATAAATAAAATAAAATACAAGTAATTATTAATATTAATTTTATAAAACAAAAATATTTGCAGGTCCAAATTACATTCAAGTCCTGAGATCCTTTTCTATCAGCAACTAAACTAAGTTGTTCTGGGGAAGAACATTTTAATAACCTGTCGGTTGCTGGAAAATCTGGATCTTTTAATATTTGATCTAAGGGGGACGCTTGATTTAAACAGGACTCATATAGATATGGAAGGACTAAAAAAAGTGAGTAAAATTATTGTTTTACACACACATATATATATATATATATATATATGTATCATTTATCATATATATGTATCATTTATCATATATCCCTTACTTAAAAATAAAGGATCAATAGGCGTCGACAAATATAAATTCCCATTTGAAGCCACAGTGTCATTTATAAACCACGAACGCTTTGATTCAGAAAACGACATCACTTCTTGTATTTCATGTTGTTTATTGAAAACAAATAAACTTTTCTTGCCGGTGCCTGGGTGCTTCAAAGGAACTATTTCTAAACTGCAACAGTCACCGATGTAAGAATCTATACCAAAAAATAAATAAAATAATTGAAGAAAGATTTTATCACGTTGTGTAAATAGTATATCTTACCTTGTAGTAAAAATATCCACGTCATTATTGACTAGTTTTAATTATATATTTAATAGTACTTACAAAAATTAATTAAAAATAATGTAATGTTAGGTTAGGTCAGGTTTAAATTTACTATCCACTATATTTTTACTTATATTATATTTATATCATAATTTTATTAACAGGACTTCATTTTAAAATGTTTTTATTTCAATTTATAGTCAGTTTCTGTCACTTTTTTGTGATTTTTTTTACACTTTTGGCGGTATTTTAATTGTACCATAAAATTATTCTTGTAGATACACACTCCATTGACAGTTGATTGAAACGTCAAAGTTGAACATAACCTCAAAAAAAGATTCAATAATTTAATAAGTAAAATAGTATAATTTATTAAATTAAAAGCGGATTTGAGTGCATTATTAGATATAATGACTTAGTTAAACTATTTACGTCATGATTGGCTTAGTATTACCTAATAGTAATTGTGAAAATTGAACTTTGTTTTGTGTCTGTGCAACTGTCAAATTTAAATTTGTCTTGCCAACTTCATTGCAGTTCTAATCATAGATAAAAGAAGAGTATATAGATCGCTCTCTCGGGCCATATTTCGTTGCCACGTTTTTCGGTCAAAACTGTCAATTTGCCCGGGTTAGTTCCCTCTCCCAATGTAGATGGCGCCAGCGTCGGCCATGGGTGCGAATATAAAATGCTGAAGAAATGCACCAATATTATATAGACCGTTTGAATTCAAAATTTTTTTTTAAATTAAAAAACCAAAATTGAATATAAAAAAGCGTATAATTTCAACAATGACATGTTACATTATACTATTACAATACATATTTATAAGATATGCAATTTGCATAAATGTATATATTATATATTTGTATATATACACATATATAATGTGTACTGTAATATAAATAAATATATATATATATATATATATATATATTATATATATATATTGTATAATATATATATATATATATATATATTATATAAATTGCACATAAATGTATGACGATTAGTGAGCTTTATAAACTATGCGCAAATAGCATATAAACGTACATAAATGTATATATTATCCACTGTGTATGTGCATATATATATATATATATATATATATATAGAATTTTATGATATGAGTGGAACGAATATTAATTGTTTAATATGAACAAACAGCACTCAGATTTGTTTAACACAACTTTATTTTATGATTACAGACCATGGTCTCGAAACGTCTGTAATCATAAAAAAAGTTGTGTTAAACAAATCTGAGCGCTGTTTTGTTCATATTAAAAATTAATATATATATATATATATATATATATATATATATATATATAAATATATCATATATGATTACAATAGATGCTACTAAACTTATAAACTATGTACAAATGGCATAGAAAAGTACATACATGTACACATTATATATATATATATATATATATATATATATATATATAAATTGCACATAAATGTATGACGATTAGTGAGCTTTATGAACTATGCACAAATAGCATAGAAACGTACATAATATTATCCACTGTGTATGTGCATATATATATATATATATCATATATGATTACAATAGATGCTACTAAGCTTTATACACTATGTACAATGGCATAGAAATGTACATACATTTACATGTATATATATATATATATAATATATATATGTACATATGGTTGTTCAATGTCTTGTGTGGACAGGGTGGTGTGTCCAAGCCTCGCTTTCTTGTATTCAAAAATAGACCAATTGCAGCACTGCAAAATGAAATGGCCATTTCATATCACACACTATTCTTCCCTCAATTGAGATTGAGTTTTAGCTCACAGACCTGCCCTAAGGCACAGACTCCTATTATGTGTGTGTGTGTGTGTGTTTTCATGTCAAAAAACTATCTAAATTATATATTTTTTTCTAGATTGCTAGAAAATTTAAATATAATTTAGACATTATCTATACCATATAACTAAAGTATTGAGAATTGATCCGAATATAAATACCAAACAAAAGAGATAGAAGTTACTAAAACTCTCTTCATGCGCTCAAAAGTTAACTTAAAATCCCAGCAACAACAATTCAAAAAGGTCATAAATTTATATTGCAATCAAAAAAGAGAAACATATTCGAAAATAAGGAATAACATTTATGCCTAAGATATTCCTGTAAATTAACTCTGTTTATATTCATCTTGGTGCTCAATCAAATAATGATAAGTTACATTAAATCTATGTATAGTCTCTATCTGAAAACTTTTCTGCACATTGCGTTAATCTGCTTTTAAATGTTGATCAAAATATCATTATCATCATTATCACAAAGAAAAAGAAATCATTATGTTCTCATAACAGTAACTGGCAAAAGTTCAAGAAAGTTATATGCAAACACATTTGCCAATAAATTAAAGAACAAAACCAAAATTACTTTTATCTGAAAAGCATATCAACAGCTTACTAAAATAAAACTATAAGGGGATGTCATTTGCAAACTATTCTGCTGTTATCCGGTAAATTATTGTACAATTCATGATCTATATACTTCTCGACATCTGTTAAATGTATTATCACCAATAATAAACAGAAATAAACTGTTTAGCAAAATATACTCCATGAAGTAGCCACTTATTTACAATTTCTACATTTGCTAAGACATTTAACAACTTCGTTATTTATTACTATAGATTATAAAAAAAAAAACACATTCATTAAACAATCACAAAAAATATGAACAGTTCAAGTATCAACTATTTGATTTGAAAAAGACAAGAGCATGATCAGAAAAAAACTTTCTCTACCATTTGCCAGTTCCTGAAAACCAACAATATCATCGTTTTTACAGTCGTTAAAGAATGCAGATGATAATGATATTTCATCAAACATCAGAATACAGTTTTTGCTATTCACATATTTTTTCTGTGCCATAGCTGAACCCAATGTTTGGAAAAGGGTCTCATTAATACCACTATACAAGGGAATTGCTGAGAGCAACTTTCTCAATGTTTGAGGAGCAGGCAGAACAAATATTTTTCTCCAAAAGTAATAACCTCTTAGAGAAATTTATGCAGAGTTAAAGCAAGAATTTTATCATCAAGTGTAAATTTTCTTTCTTTTCGCTTCTTTGTATGTTCTCTTAGTTGCCTTAATATAAAATTACGAGCCCTCTTATTTAATGTTGCTGGGAGATAAGCAAAATTGTCAGCACATTTGACACTTTCTTGTAACTTCTGCCTCAATATTTTTTTTGTATATTTATCCTTCTGACTTCTTTTCTCAATACATTTGTTATATGGTATAAATTTTGTTTTTTGCATATCTGGTCTCTGCAGTGCTTAAGAACCTCTGCTGAAAAAAAAATATCTAGAATCATTTGCTACGAACTTAATTTGTAGTATAAAAATTTTAAATAACTCACCTTTCAGGGACGGTTTTCCATCTTCAGTTTTGCCAGAACAATACAAAAAAGTGTTAAAAAAAATAATTTTTCAATAACATAGCTTCCAGAAAGGGATTTAGTAAGACGGGTGTCTTGTATTTATAACCTTAAAATTCCTAGCATTGATACTGTTAAATGTCTCAGTTATTGAGCTACAATAAAAAATTATATCAGAAGTTCTAGTAATAGATGCGAGTATTTTGTTGTGTACATATTGATAAAACTTATTCACCTAGTTCTCACCATCAGTGCTCAGCCCGGGCTCCAGTTATTTTACTAATCATTTTACATATTACGTCTTTTTCTGCAGGAAATACACCATTTTCGCATATTGTTGGTGTTCCGCATTATTGTACACCGCACAACAACGAGGTTTAAATAAAACATTTGACACTTTGACACTAAAATATTATTCCGCCATATTAGATTCTCGAATATTTTCTTTAGCCCGTTTTGTAGCGCTACCAGCGCTCCAAACGAGGGAGAGGGAACTAAAAACGAGATTACAGATGTTTGTTCCGTGATTACCGGCCATGGTTCTAATATATGCTAAAACTGTCAAAAAATGATAAAAACATGAATTTAAATGATTTAAATGTTGGAAATGATTTTTTGAAAATATTTTGTAAATATTTAAAATTTATCAATTTATAATTAATTTTTTTATATACATTTTATTGAGACAATTGGATTTGTGACTGTTCAACTGTCAAATTTGAATTTGTAGTCAATGTTGAGTACTTTCATTTTATATAATATTTATTTTGATATCTAATATGTTTTTAATATAATTTACAATCTATTTGTGTCACTTTTTGAGATTTTTCACTTTATTTACGTTTATATATAAAATTATTGTGTTAATTGACATTTGACAGGTGACGGGTGACACTTGACAGTTGTCAGTTGACAGTTGAATAACGTCAAAGTTCAAGTTAAACATAATCTCAAATTTTTAATAAAACTGCAAATATTCAATCATTTTCATTACGTAAATAACAGATTCGTATTTATAATTACTAATAATATTAATTTTATATTAAATAAACAGCCGAATTAAAAAACATTAGTTAATATTGTATCTATTAT